TGTGTGTGTGTGTGTGTGTGTGTGTGTACACGCTCCATTCTCTTCTTGTCACCTCTGTGTTTCTGGTAATTCCCAACCTGCTTCCTGCATTTATCTGGACTCTAGTCAGTCACTGTGTTGTGACTTCTGGATAGTCTGCAATGGTACCCCAGAAGCAGGTCCGTTTCCCTCACCAATGCATTACCAGGCACTGAGAATGACTCAGAACCTTTTGAGCGATCACACTGTCTTTTTACAGGAAGATTACGTCTCCACCACAAAGGGACTGGCTAATTCTATAGCAAGCAGAACAACAATGAGCCAAAATAACAGAGCCCTGTGCATCATAGTCCAATCCCTGAGGCTAATTGTTAGTTTGTTTAAGTTTTGCTTGCAGGCAGATAAGGGGCTTCTCCCTTTGGAAGCTTGGCTGAGCTAGTGTGAAGACAAGACTATAATTCAGACATCCAAGTGAAATGCAAATAGTTTCGTGTATTCATGGTCACTAATGACCTGTAATCAAAATATAATTTGTTAGGTTAAAAACAAAGACACCATTAGTTTATTTGCTTGAGAGTGTAATTGGAACTATGTGTCAATCTGTGGATTTCCCTCCTTGTTGGAGAAAGTGAGCTGGATGGTGAGGCCTGGGACAGCCATGGTTCCGTTTGTGAGACTCTACCCTCCTGACCTTCACTAAGCCTATGGCTTTAGTGGCGGCAGTAATAGGGGAAATGGAAAGGATACTCTTTCTCAGTGCTTTTTCCTCTTGCTAAGTGAGCAACTGTTTCTATTCCAAATCCCCTGCAGTCATACTTCAACTGGCTAATTTTCTTGATGCATGTCCACTCATCCAGCAAATATTTTGCACATAATTATCAAGGGCCAGCGAAGCTTCCAGTGCTGCACGACACCTCAGGGTAGTGCAGTGGTTATCTGGAGATTCCTCATACATTCTTTGCGAGATTTAGAATCTCTCTGTTGCCTTTGAGATTTTGGGTATCCCTAATTACTCCTCCGCTGGCACCAAGTAAAGAATTTTTTTCCTTGGCATGAAATAGATGCTCTGGTGAGATGTGCATCCTAGGGAACAGGGTATTTTGATCATGGGCATGTGCAAACGAAGCGGTAGAGAAGCTGGTGGGTCAGATTACTCCATAGAAAACCTATGGTTTCCTTTGCTCCAAAAAGGGAAGACATTTAAACTCTACAAAAGCATGAAATGCCTTATCCTCCATCAAGCAGAAAAAGGGCACTGTTGTGATCTACTTGGTACTGTGGAGGAATGAGGAAGGTTATCCATGGCAGACACTTGAACTAGCATAGGTGATTAACAAAACAGTGAATTCTATCTTGGTCTTGTGTTTCTCTGCTTTTGAGGTGGCGTCTCCATTCCGCAGCACTAGAAACTCTCTGGAGCCATTTCTCCCCTTGTTAGGGTGCTGGTTCTGCCCTCCACCCGAAGGTCAGTGCCCATCTCACTTGCTCAGCATGTACCCGGTGGCCTAACACAGCACCTAGCACTCAGCGTGGTGTTAAATGCAGTCCGGAGTCCGTGACTAGTGCCTTAAAACCAATCGTAGCACTTAGAAAGTTGTTACATGAACCAAAATTCCTTAAAACCAGTTACTTTAAGGGGTAAAACTTAGTCACTAAACAACACTATACTTAAAAAGGGATTCTTCTGATTAGGACTTTTCATGCCCTTTTAGATTCAGGTCCAAAAAATTCATTTCAGCACATTTTTTTTTTTTTCTGTGTCTTTGGAAACTAAGAGCCCAGCAATGCCATTTCCTTCTCTTATTCCTATGGCAACCAATCAGATCTCTGGTGCATAAGGGTATGTTCTTCAGCATCTCAGGTTCTGTTGCTCACAGAACCTTGACAAATTGTGTGGGTGGATGGTGTGGTCAGTTTCTTATTTACTCAATGGATATTTATGAGGCGTTTACTGTGTGCCAGGCATG